CATAGGAGTAAAACAATGGAGGATGAATATGCCACCAAATGAGGGAAGGAGGACCAGACATATCTTGCAGAAATCAGAGAAGAGGTGTGAATGGCTGTATATAGACGTACCAATTCTCTTGAAGTTACAGGAAGTACTCTAATTAAATCTTTACACAGTTATTGCAAGTCACTAGTTACCATTCACAAAAAGAGAAAGGTAATACAAACCTTTAAACTACCAAAGAAAAGAGGAAGAAGAAGAGGAAGAGGAAGAGGAAGAGGAAGAAGAAGAAGAAGAAGAAGAAGAAGAAGAAGAAGAAGAAGAAGCAGCAGCAGCCTATTATGTCATTATATAGTGGTGAAAAAGCAAACAAAAACCTACAAAGCAGTATTGCTAATCAATCTCTCTGGAAGACAAAGGTTGAAGGTTGCTTCCCTGAAGCCTTGTTTTAAACCCCTCAGTCCTAATCCCCAAGTGAAAAGATGAAACCCAAAGACATAGGTAACAGAATCCAAAGCTGCAGACTTTTCTGCTTGAGAATCACTTTAACTGCCAAGGACTCTGGCCTTCCATAATGGCAAGGTGACTGATGCATGTAGTCTGAGCTTTGCATAAATCCACAAGATAGTGGTTGCCCTGGGTTAATCCATCTAGGAAGAAAACACAGATATTTCCTCAAGGGCACCTCTTAAAAGTTACCTCCCTGAGTTAAACAATGCACTAGGTATTGCATCCAGGGCATATAGATGCAATTTCAAAAGCCCAGGCCTCTATCTTATGGGTCACTTGCTTTCCCCCTTGTCTGTCATCACCCGCTTAGAACAAAACATAACATAATTTGTCCCACAGGAGGAAGTGATGGAAACCAACTTGAGTGACTTTAAAAGAAACTATGTTCTTGCTGAATGATCAGAGACAGTATGTGCCTGAACACCAGCCACAAGGCGACACAACTCTGACATGGTTGCAGAGCAGAAGGCAAGAAGCAAGGACCTCCCGAATTTTGGCCTCATACAGGGCGCCGCTGAAATTTGAAAGACCAAAGTCCACCCTTGCCTAATTCATACTTTTCAGGAGAAGAAATAGGAAGGTACTGATTGGGTTCTTGCCTGGCCAGACCAAAGAGCTTGCTAGTAATTTGAGCAGCTCTTAAGGACCGCTTGGCTTGGAAGCAAAACAGTTGATAGCACTAGTTAAGTGTTTAAGAAAGGCACTCCCCGCAACCTGCTTACTTCACAAGGAAAAGTGTGAGTGCTCCTTTCTTATAGCATGTAACTGCCGTTTGTCACACGCATTCTGTGTTACCCTGGCTCTTCCCATCTCTCCGTTGGTTTGTTATGTTTGTCTCACCTTCCTTTGGCTTCCACAACCGCATTAAACTCACTACAGGCTACAACAGGGATGAAGGACCTGTAGCCTTACAGATGTTGTTCACCTTCAACTGCTGTCAGCCCCAGACACCAGGGCCTGGTCTGCACTGTAAACTCTTCTGGACAAGAGTCTGCACAATAAAGAACAGAAAGTTTAAAGAAAAGAGCAGACTCCTGTGCTGAAGAGCTTATAGTGCAGACCAGGCCATGGTGTCTGGGGCTGATCATTAAATAATAAAAACAGTGGAGAGTTTTTATATATTTTATGAATGTTAGGATGCATGCTACTGCAACAGTCCTTAGCTGAGAAGGAAACTTCAGGCTGCAGTTGAATGAACAAGAAATAGCACCAGCTCCTTTCACAGAGAATGTTATCAGGAGTAAAGAGGCTTGATGTACTTTCCTGCTCCTTCAGAGTAGCATTTGCTGTGCTGGTAGAAGACAGTACTGTGTATCCTGCTCATATATTTGTTATCTTCAAGAATATATGTCCCATTTATTTTCTAAATGAAGGTCACATTAATTGGAATGTTGTAGAAATATCAACGTTTTCTGCATCTTGGAAAAAAGGACTTATCAGAATATGAAACATTAAAAACATACAACTTGGCAGTATGCACTTTTCATTTAAGAAATCACAATTTCACTTATATGGGAGAACAGAATAGATGTGCATTACAGGATTGTTAAACAGAAGTAATTGTACGAATATGGTCTGAGTTTATAAACTGTATGAATTGTGAAAGACCTGAAAATGGTCCTGTTTTCCAGAGTGAAGCATTCCCATACATATATCCAAATACAACTGAAGTGCTTGCAGGCCACATGATTTAAAATACTGACAAATGTGGTATATCTTCACAATGACATTTCCTCCTACTGCTCTGTCTTTTCACCTGTGGCTTTAGCCTTCTTGCTTTCATCAATCTGCTCGCTTAGGAAGAGTTTAACAGTTTTCCTGCCTGTGGGCAACAACACATCTCTCGGTGTCTTACAGAGCTGAATAAGATTGGACATTTGCAGAATAAATATACACCACTAGTCATATTGATGAAAAGGAAGTTACATAAAAGTTTAGGAACATAGGAAGCTGCTTTATACCAAATCGGACCATTGGTCCATCTACTTCAGTACTGTTGACACTGACTGGCAGTAGCTCTCTGGGGTTTTAAGCAGCACTCCCTCCCAGTCTTACCAGAGGATGCTGTCGATTAAACCTAGGACCTTTGCACGAAAAGCATGTGTTCTCTCTCTGAGCTACAGGCACCCCCCAACTTCAGAGTAAAACACTGAGTAGTAAATATTAGCAGCAAACTTTTAATAGACTATTGATACTGAGCTTCCAAGATATATTTTCATGAACCAATCAGGTGGGATAATATTAACACTTGCCAGTTCTGAGCTGTTCAGTCAATAATCTCAGCATTAAGATCTGAAAAGCAATGAATGTGAGCCTGACCATCCATGTATTTCAGCCTATATCATTTCTGAAATACATTCAATGGACACCTGCAGATCAATTGTACTTGTAGACCAGTATTTCTTACGAGTTTTATACAGAATTAAAACTCACCAAGTTCACTGTGGCTTACTCCCAGATAAGTATACACAGGATTGTGGCCATAGAGTACAAAGGAGGTGTTTGGGGGAAAATCTGAATAGATATTACTATTGTGTCTAATAAAGTCAGTTTACTACAGGGAGAAAATGACCCCTAGAGTTTTAAAGGCAGAGAGGCACAGGGCAAGATGGCACCTCCACCTATATACAGAAGCTAACTTGACTGGAAGTTGACTTTTACTTCAACGCTGGCAGTGGGATAGCACTTTCTACTGCACCTGTGGGGAGCAGGCAAGTTCAGGGGGTATATTATCACAATGCCTGGGGGTTCGGGGAAAACAGTTGCAGGGGATTGAACTAGATGACCCTCAGAGTCCCTTCCAACTCTACAATTCTATGACTTTTAAATAGACCAGGAATTTTTAAGTATTACTATACCTATGGAGAGGGTCTTTAGCAGCAGTAAAGCTGCAATCAACATTTCCCTAACATTTGGAGTTCATACTGACTTTTGAGCTCTTGATTCCCTATATGCCTTTCCTTAGACAACCATACTGAAGTTGGTCTATGAACCTAATTGTAGGAGAAAACTACGCAGCCCAATCCAGTCAAGGATGCACCATTTAGATCAAAGCTCAGTTAACATTCTCATTTTTATCCATTACACAGAACTCAAAGTGGCTAATGGGGTGCGGGGGGAGGGGCTCATCACAGGTGTGACAGAGTCAGAGCATTTCCACTCCTACGCTAAGGAGAATACCAGACCTATATTACTGACCTTGCATTTAGAGCCTAGAAATTAGGGTAAGACATATCTTTTCTTCAATCCGTTTTGCACATTTGTATATCTCTAGATCGCTGTGGCCATAGTTTTTTTTCCTCAGCTGTGTCCTGAGGGTCTGAGGGGTGGGGGAAAGCGATCTGATTGTAGAATGGGAAGGGACCCCGAGAGTGCAGGAATCTCAGCACAGGGTCCCCCCATCCAATTTGAAACCATACCAGACACTGCTTAGCTTTGCAAATGTGCTAGCAGTTTTATTGCTGTATTCACTTAAACGTACAGTCAGCTGCTGCACCTAATGAAATAAGCTGTCTTTCATGGGAGAGAATGACAAGTTTGGCACACTGCTGTGTCTTCTTTAATGAGAAAAGTATGACAGGTATGACTCAACCAGCCACAGATCTTTAGTCATTGCTTGGCTCCGTTTCAGATATATTTTAAAAAATCCTGATCCTATATGTAAAGTGCTGGTGATCAAATCAAGACAGCAACCCTGTGTCAGAGAGATGCCTAGAATTCCATGTCAATAGAGACTTTTCCTCGTTAAGGCTCCATTGTGCCCATACAGATAAACAGATTTCTGTCTTGTGCTTGTTGAATTGATTAACCATGGAAAATAAACATCTAAGGATATATACATGGGGAATCAATCTTGCCAATCAGTATTCTCTCATAAATTCATGCAAAACCTCAAAAAGGAGCAATTTGCCAATTGATACCGAAAAAGTGACAGAACTCAGAACTGTTCCTGGTACAGACCTGTGCATTGTCTGTGAATTCAGGTTTATGGCTCTTTCAAGGCTCCCTCTGCTGGTGCAAGTAAGGCTCTCTCAAGGTTCAAGCCTACCAATCAGAGCTTCATTTACTTTAAGTCTATCAAATGATTTAATCGTATTTTAAAAAACAAAAATAAAAGTTAAACAATTAATTGGCCACTTGTTCATTACAGCTAGCTTGACATTGCCCAAATACTAGAGAGACTTATGATGTGTTTGCCATTGGACTACAGGTGTGATATTTAGCCCTCATGGAAATAGTGACTCAAAATTTTAATTCTTCATGGTATTAAAAAAATCAAATAATTTTGTTTTGACTTGGCACTCACTTATTTTTTATGTCAGCAATAAGGGCCACAGTAAAAATCCACCATTCTATTATGCTAGAATTTGGAATGCATGGCACTGTATTTTTATTTATTTAATCTCTCTCACACACACACAACTTTATTACGGTCCATAGACCCAAAATACACAGTACTTTTTTATTTACATTGTCGCTGTTATTTTAATTTCATTTTTGTATTATTTCCTTGTATTCATGGATGCATATATGTACTTACCTTCACACTGATTTGAAGCCACTTTGTGTCCATCCTAAAAGAGGCTTCTGGGAGGCCAGAGGGACATTGCTGGAACAACTCTTGGGTTGGGGCAATTGGCTAAAATGTTTTAAAATGTTTTAAAGGGTTCTAATGTTGGTTTCTCTGTTTTGTTTTTGTCAGGTTGCTGTTGGTTAACTGTTTAGTTGGGGTTGGCGGTTATTTTAATTTGGGTATAACTGTAAACTGTTTATTATTGTTGCTATAATTGTTGTTATTGGTTTCTATTGATTTACTGGTTGGTTGGTTGGTTGGTTGGCTGGTTGGCTGGTTGGTTGGTTGGTTGGTTTCTCTCTCATATAGGATATCTTTTTTTTAATGTTTGATGCTTGTTGTGTTTTTATATATGTTGTAAGCCGGCCAGAGTGGCTGGGAAACCCAGCAAGATGGGTGGGATATAAATTTTAAAAAATAAAAATATTATTATTATTATTACTACACAAAGTAAGCCCCATCAAATTCAGTGGGGCTTGCAGCTGAGTAGACAGGCACAAGATTTCATGTCTAAACTGCTAAACGATGAAACTGTGTCCGGCATTATCTGGATTTATTAACCCCAGGCTCTATATCTATGGTACAGAAATATGGCAACACTAGACATTGTAGATATTTTGAATACACCATGTGCAATTAATGCACGTTAGTCATGAATGATAGAAATTCATGTATGTATTAAATAGCATAAAAAGAAAAAAGATGAATCAACAGATAACCAGTTTTCTTGATCAGCATCACCAAGGCATGAGAAATGGAATTTCTAGTGTTTTGGCAAGACAATTCTTATCTTCATCCAGAGAAACAAGCCAAGGCAGATTCCTACATTAGACAGTACAAACTAATCCTAGTATTGCAAGAAAGATGCACACATTCGGGAGAAGATGTGGAAATGCTGTTTATAAACACAAATCTTATATTTCTAATAGACAGAAATGTTTCTGTCAGGACCCACCATCAGAGCTGGTCTGATTAGAGCCAGAAGATGAGAAAGACAGCAATAGATATATGTTCTTCATAGAAAAGATAATGATGGTAAACCCACTGGTCAGAGGAGCATCCTGGGCTAGGAATTTCAATTGCCATTGTCTTGAGCTTCGGGTTTGGTTAGAGTGGCAGAGCAATGGTTACAACACATACCTGGAGCAAGGAAGCTATAAGCAAAACACACAGAGACAGAAGCAAAGTGAAGGGTAGTTAAGGTCCTAGAAGGAAAGGAACGGAACTGAAAATTCCTGGTTCAGCCATCCCAGCAGGTCACCATGACAACAAGCCCAAGAAGGAAGGGCGGGAAATTAGGGCTATCCTAGTCGATTTGCACATACACTACAGTCCAGCGCACAGGGCCCATCTGCTGCCAAAACCATCTTGCTACATTTCAATGGGATTGATTCATTCAAGCATTCACAGGGCTCTACATTATTTATTACATTTACTTAGTGTCGTTGGTGTACATAGAGCTTTATGAGTGACATAAGCAAAAGAGAGAGATTCTGGCCCGAGGAGCTTGTGATCCAAATGCTATTGGTGGTAGTCGTATTTATAGGCTGTCTTTCAGGAATGCCCCTCTCAGTACGGAAGATGACAAAAGAGGGATACATACCCCCAGGTGTCCCGATTTTCCAGGGACCGTCCCAGAATTATGAAAGCCATCCCAGCTTCTGACTTAATCCCAGAATGTCCCTCTTTCCACCGCCAGTGCTGCTGCCGTCAAGCTCAGGGAGGAGGGTGAGCCGGCGCTTATCCCAAGTGGCAGTGGCAACTGCTGCAAGGAAGCATCCCATTGCCTCTCCATGGCTGCCACTGCCAGCCTTCGGGCAGCATGTAGCGGCTGCCAGAGATCTTGAGGGCAAGGAGGAGGAGAGGCTGCAGTCTGTTACATGGGGCTGGGCATTGTCAGTTGCTGCCTATTCTCCTCCACAAGCAGCCGCTATGCGCTGCCCACTCTGAGAGGCAGGCAGAGAGCAGGGCCGCCCCACATGGAAAGAAAGGGGAAAGGAAGTAATTTTCACTAAAATGCAGAAAGTCCAACTTTAAAGTTTCAAAAGTTTTTGTTTTTATAATGGGCCTTCACGTTAAGGCAAAAATTCTTCTTCGGAAAAAATAGGGATTTATTCCCAGAACATAGTTGTGTTTGAGATATTGAAGGTTTTTTGTAGGTGTTTGGGAGAGATTTGGAACAATGCAGAATTTCAAGTACAGCCATAGTGACTGTTGTCGCACAAAGACTGGTGTTTTATGTTTTAGCATTATGTGGGTTTCTCCTACAATGAGGAAGAACCTCCACACCACACCAAGTATAAACACATGTGTGAATAATACTCTGGCAGTTAAGCATATATAAGAATGTTTCCTTTATATAAAAGGTAAAATGGGAATCTTGAAAGAAGTAAATAAGCTTTGTCTGACATACATTATCTGTCCCTTGAGTTTGTAAATTTTTGATACATGTGCTTTCTGTGTGTAGTAACAATAGATCTTCCTTCTATTTTGAAATATGTTGACTCATTTGAGATGTGATGGTTGCTGAATGAGAAATAATAATAATAACAATAAAAATAATAATACCCCACCTTTCCCCCTGACAGATACTCAAAGCAGCTTACAAATAAAATAAGAACAGCTAACCACAATTGTTAAAAAACAATTAAACATTATATATATTATTTAAAACATATGGAAAATTACAATAAAAACAGCACAGTACCAGATCCTTCATTAAAACTTCCCCAAAGCCTATTGGAATAATAGGTCTTCACCTGCCCCCAGAAGAATAACAAGGACAGAGCCAGTCAACTTCTCTATGGAGGGAGTTCCAAAGTCTGGGAGCAGCCACCAAGAATGCAGCTGTGGTCTTGCAGTTAGCTGTTTACTATTATACTTGAAATATGCCAGTTATAATTGTGGTAGTGCAGAGGCATTTTCACTGGTGACACTGGTAATGTGGAATACACTCCCTGCTGAAAAAGAGGCGCCCATCTATATTGGCATTCCACTGCCTTTTGAAGACACACCTGTTTACATAGGCATTGATTTGCTCTCTTGTCCCAAGCTTCCTGCTTTACTTGCTGTGCTGTTTTAACAGGATTGTTTTACTACATATTTGATCATGAGTATCTTTATTTTAATTGGATTGCTTTGTTGTGTTTTTAAATTATTGTGTATTTTTAAATTATTTTCTATTTTAACAACAATAATATATGGTCACAATGCTGCAGCAGGCTGCTGGGTGATATTTTTTGCTATGATACATTCCACTACCATGGTTGAAAACAAATCTAGCTGTTACATCCACAACAGAGACTGGCTGATTCTCCACCAACCCCAGTCATATCTCACTGCACAAGGCAAGCCCATCATGTGGATTTCTTCACCTGCAGTCCAATTCCATGGCATTCACCATCTGGCAAAGGGTAGGGAAGTGTGGCATGATGGCCTTAAGTTACATGGTAGGTTCTCTAAATGGGCAATTCAACATGAGGGATACTCATCCCTGTGAGTTGCGAGATATTTTGCTGCCTGAGGCAAAAGAGAAGATGGTGTCTCCATTCCACAGAAGCTGAGCAGCCTGGAGATCTTAATTTTTAATCTTACTGAAATTGCAGTAATTATTTGTAAATTTGAATTTACACACACACACACACACACACACACACAAACATATGTATATTTTATGCAAAACTGTGTCCTCTGTTTCTGTGATGAATTTTCCCCCCTTTTTGGCAGTGCACAAGTTGTCAGCCTATCACCCCAGGATCTGCCACCTGAGGCAGCCACTCCACATAAAGGGAGAACCATCTCCGGTGGCATGTGCAATGCCTAGATGACTGATCAGCAGCCATGCTGAGGACAGTCCTAACTCATCCTATATCAACATCATGGGACTGGAAGAAACAATGGGGGAGACCATGTTGTTTTTGTGCAGAGACTTCTAGCAACCTGCATTCTGCTTCTATGATACCTCCTCTGGCATATGAGTGAAGTTTCCAGGAAAAGTTTACAGATAACAGCATAGAACTTGTATGAGATCACAAACTACAATTTTCATTTGTCATCCAGATCAAGTTCCTGCATTGCTATTATGCCGTGAGAAATTCTCAGTAGCTCAGGTTTTGACATTCACTATAATAGAACTTCCTGCGTGAGTCAGACTTGAAAGATCTGATGGCAAATCAGTATCTGAACCCATCTCGATACAGGTTGGAGACTACAGTCTTGCTATTAACTTGGCAACATCAGCAAGATTTATGGCACCACTTAGTATTACTGAGTCATCCCCGCACCCCGGCCACTCTTGATATAAAAGCTCAAATAAAATTGTGTTTGCAATGAGGCCTCTTACTGAAGCTTAGTCCCCATAAACAAAAGGCAAGGTGGTGAACCTATCTCTGGACTATAACACTTCAGATTACAGGTTACAGCGCACATGATTGTAGTCTTCCCTCATACAAAACAGAATCAAAATAACCTCCCTCCACATAGAAAACTAGTATGTCAGATAAAAGACCACATAAGTACCCTTTTCACTGACATCCAATTTTGTACACACAGAAATCTCTTTTTTGAGGGGGGTGGGTATGAAGAAGTATTGAATCATATAAGCCCCAATCTGCCATCTTAAATGGCACTATGGTAACAATACAGTGGTAACTCACAGTACATTTTTCCTTGCAGAATATTAGTCAGGACCCATGCAGGAAACCATCTTTTTCCATACCATGCATGGGAATGCTGCCGCATCACTCAAATCATCATCACAGGGGCTTCTGCTACCTCCTTTCAAAGTGCAAGGAAGCTGTGAAGTTAACAGGCACTCACCTGGGTTGCAGCCTCACAACAGTTTATTCCATTTACCCAACATTTCCCTAGCAGTTAATTTCTGCATTGAATTTGAGTTTTTACATGATTGAAAAGCTGCTTCTGGAAATACAGTGGAGTACAGTGGTACCTCGGGTTAAGTACTTAATTCGTTCCGGAGGTCGGTACTTAACCTGAAACTGTTCTTAACCTGAAGCACCACTTTAGCTAATGGGGCCTCCTGCTGCCGCCACGCCGCCGGAGCACCATTTCTGTTCTCATCCTGAAGCAAAGTTCTTAACCTGAAGCACTATTTCTGGGTTAGCGGAGTATGTAACCTGAAGCGTATGTAACCCGAGGTACCACTGTATAGCACATTTCCATGTTATTTGCTTCCGGAAAAAAAGCCATTTGCAATAACATGGAAAAGACTGCTATGGATGCTTTCAGACATGGGGAATATTGGGTTGGTTTTCCTGATTATAACGCTAGGGCTTCTGTTCCATTTTCTAATGTTCCTTTCACACTGCAGTAGCTGTTATGCGGCTGTGGCTTTTTGACCAATATACCAGCATGTCATGAAAAATTTCATTCACACCAGTAGGTGTGGAGTGACACAGCAAGATGCCATTGGACAACATTGTTACTCTCCCACCCTTTTCACACATGTATACTTCTGTTTCCCCATGAAAATGGCAGGAAACATCTGTACACTGGCATATCACCCCTAATTTCATCACTTTACTTCTGTGATTTTCTGGTTTAATGGGGTTGCAAATGGATATTTTCTGGAAGCCATTAACATGGAAATGAGCACTAAACTTCCACTATATTCTGCTAGATTTCTGGAAGCAGCTTTTACGTCATGTGAAAGCTCAAATATAATGTAGAAATTAACCGTTAGAGAAACATCGTAAAAATGGAATAAACCGCTGTGTGAGTGCAGTCCAGAGCTTTGGATAAAAAACAAAAACAAAGAGGGAATTGGGAACCCCTTGGACCACCTCAACTTTTAAAGTGCCACTACCTTATGTACCAAAATTTCCACTCCCCACCTAATAATAATACCTTGCCCATCTGGTCAGCACCTTCCCCCCAAACAAACCCCCTGAATGTGGAAAAAAATCTAGGGTCTGAAACATTTGGAGCAATTCTGCTCCTAAATACTTTGGGGGGGGGTCCTCCTAAACACTAAAATTAATAAATGTTAGGATTTGGGGTTATTTGTGATATGAAGAGAGAATATAAGCTGCAAAGGAATTCCTGGGTAGCCTGGCCAAACTAGGGCTGTTGAGAGAACCACTGTGGGTCATTAACAAGACAATGGAACTTCTTGTTTCAGGTGTGACCAGAGACTGGAGATTTGGTAGGTTGCCAAGGTAACTGCTCTGGAGGAGGGCAAGGGGCTTCTGGGAAGAAGAGGAAGAAGGAGTGAGATCCAACTTGGGAAGGGAGAACGAAGGACTGCCTGCAATGCTTTGGGCCCTGCTGTAAGATCTGGACCGCCCCCCACCACCACCATGCAGACTGAAGGTGTAAATATGTGAATCAAACCGTATTTCTTAAAGCACGACAGTCTTCGCCCTGTCTCCCATTCCCCAAAGGGACACAGATCCTGTGTGGGCGCCTAAGATCCCATACGCATTTGCCACTGCTTGGCGGAGAGAGGGGGCAGGCACCAGGCTTGTGTAACAATACAAAGCATATGCACCACAGTGGCGTAGCATGGTTTTCTGGTGCCCATGGGAGGCAGGTGTGTACCAGAGGGGCAGGATGCAGAGAGTGAATGGAGCCCACCATGCCAGCCTGGCCCTTGCCGCCAAAGCAACCCCCCCCCCACTGGAGCCAAGCAGGGCAACGCTGCATTGCCTGCCCGCCTGTACAGAGGGAGCCCAGCCAGCTGATGCAGCCCTTAGCAGGAGAATCCCCCTGACACCCACAGAGAGGAGTTTTGGGCCAGGCCATGCTAGGGTTAATACCTGCCTGCTTCCCTCCATCCACACCCACTTGCACACTGAGCAAGGAGTAAGTGAGTGTTGGCAAGGTGGCCATTCAGCAAGGGCGTTGGCCATTCAGTGAGAGGGCCAGGGACGCAGTAGCAAGGCAGGCTGGGCTCCAGGGCCTTGAGACCCCAGGCAGCAGTCAGGGAAGGACGGAGAGCAAATCGTAACAATTGGGGAATGTTCTAAATACAGCAGTATCCAGCTTCATTCATTGCATCCCAATATTGTTGCAACCAAACAAATGGTGCATTGCTTTCTCAAATACAGCTGTCTTGCTCCAGTTTCCCTTCCTAAATTAGTTGGCCCATTCAGAGGATCTTTTCTTATCAGCAACGGCAAAAATCTTTTAGTTCTTTTGGCCAGAGTTTCTGCCAATTAAAACACAGCTTGCCTTAGAAATTTGCTTCTTCTAAGTGGGGAACTAAAGCTGAAAAACAGAAGAGGCATTGGGAGATTTGGACAGCATACTAAAACTCTTCACACTTAGTCACAATTGTGCAATTAACTAAGTGTGTGCAATGTAACTGTTTTTCCTACTGCAGAATGTAAGACACTTGGGTATTTGAATTTGGGAGTTAGAACTTTATTGATAAGGGCTATAGCTCAGTGGTGGAGTATCTGCCTTGCAAGAAGGTCTCAGGTTCAATCCTCAGCATCTTCAGGTAGGACTGGAGTACCTCTGCTGCCAGTCAGTACAGTGGTACCTCGGGTTAAGAACTTAATTCGTCCCAGAGGTCTGTTCTTAACCTGAAACTGTTCTTAACCTGAAGCACCACTTAGCTAATGGGGCCTCCTGCTGCCGCCGGAGCACAATTTCTGCTCTCATCCTGAAGCAAAGTTCTTAACCTGAAGCACTATTTCTGGGTTAGCAGAGTCTGTAACCTGAAGCATATGTAACCTGAGGTACCACTGTGTAGTCAATATTGAGCTAAATGGACCAATGGTCTGACTCAGTATAAGTCAGGTTCCTATCTTCCTGTGTAATAAAATCATGAGCCAGTTGGTGTCTCTAAAAGAGCAGGATGAAGGGACTTAAGATGATGAAAAGAACAGAAAGCTGTTGCATATTTGTTTAGTACAGTCATATACAGTTGTGTCTGCTTCAGGTTACGTCTTTTCAAGTTGTGTCCCGCAGCAAACCGGAAGTACCAGAACGGTTACTTCTGGGTTTCGCCGCTCGCACATGCGCAGAAGCACTAAATCACACTGTGCACGTGCGCAAATGAAGCACTTCCGGATGCGAACACTTCGAGTTGCGGATGTGCCTCTGGGATGGATTACGTCCGCAACTCGAGGTTCCACTGTACTGGAAGAAAGATTTGTGAAGAAATTAGCAAACAACCCCACCAAAACAATGATTCCACTTAAATATTTTCTCACCCCCATGGAAACTGAATAACCTGACGAAATGGGAAGTGCTGATCTTACGAACTTAAAAACCGCCCCAGTTTCAGTCTATGGTATATTGCTAGATCCAAATAGCAAAAAATAAAAAACGAAAATTTGACCCAGAGCTGGCCTTACCATTAGGAGCAACATTAGGGGTACTATTAAAAGAGAAAGAAAATGTCTGTTAGCTTACTATTATAGTTTCACTACAATGGAGGAAAGGTCCCTTTTGTATTTTCTGCCACAGACATCAATGTCTTCTACTGCATCTGACCTAAATTGAGATTTCTCACAGGACCAATTTTCACAGTTCTGAAATGCCAACATTTTGTAGGAAACTTGGAAAAGATTAAGCCAGATGGAGTGAACTATTATGTCAGCACAGGTCAAAGCTTCCAAAAGAGTGTTTTACACTAACAAATCAGTAAGCAATAAGAAGATCAGTTTCATCTACCAAAAAAAGAGAAAATATAGATTTGAAATTTCTCATTATTCTGCTCCAATCTCTAGGTACAGATCCAGCTACTCAGCTCTTACAGCATTTGAGAATTCTAGAAGAAGAAAGTCTAAAAGTCTGAATAGTAGATTGACTGGCCATTATAAATTTCTCATGGAATACTGGGGAACAGAGATAATGGAGGAACTCATTATATATGGCTAAATAAAGTCAAGGATGTTGCCGAAATGTCAAAGTCCAAACACCTTATTAATTTTCGATAAGAAGTGTTGTGGCAGAAAAGGTTGGATTACATTTATTGTCTGGGAGCAATAAAAATATTAAAGGAGCCAAAATATTGTAAAGTTTCTTTCTTGACTTATTGAATATAAACTTACAACATTGGATGTTGATATAATGGTAGTGGCGTAGTGTGGGGGGTGCAGGGGGGGCCGGCCACACTGGGCGCAACATCTGGGGGGGTGCTCGCACTCGAGTGCTAAAATCCACGGGTTAGGGGGCGCAAATTACTTGCCTTGCCCCGGGTGCTGACAACCCACGCTACGCCACTGTATAATGGCACTGGGGAGAAGACTTGAGCAAAGAATGTGTTGCAACTGGATCCATGCATTTCATCTAACACTTGGGTTTGAATTAGCTCACACAACTTTTTAACAGAGTATAGGTCCAACAATATGTTAGCATTGCTGTTTATGTTAACGCATGCTTGATAAAACATTATTGCAGTTATTTGAAACAATGCTGATAGCTTAGTAGTGAAAGCAAAGCAATTAGTTCATTTTCGTTTGCCATCATTTTCTTTATGATCAAATATTTAAAAAATCTAAGGCTTGGGGGGAAGAAACCTATCTTCAGCTGATATCAGAAAAGAGACAACAGCAGACTTCAGTGACCAGGGTGTTGCGTAGCTAGGGTGTCATTGTTGCCATTGCCAGGTATACTTTCACTGTTTATTTGGCAAGGTACTTGGTCTTTGTATGTAAGGTCACAAAATGTGAACTATACTCAACAGAGAGTTGCTTGTATCGTGGATAGTCTTGCACACATTAGGTACATCCAAAGCTGTCTTGTAGTAATTCAGTTCACTGGTTTATCTGGAGCTGCATGATTAACTCTGTCTGGCAGTGGCTGTTCAAAGTCTCAATTGGAGATCTTTTCGTATCTGCTACCTTGGATTCTTTTAACTGGAGATGTCAGGGATTGAACCTGGAAATTTCTGCCTGGAAAGCATATATACTTTACCATTGAACTATGGATAGAATCAAATGCAAGTCATATATATATATGTATATATATGTATTCTCTTAAATGTGTTTTCACCATTTGCTGTCTAGGTAACCAGCATTCACCCTGGTGAAATGGTAGTTTGGTTTGTTAATTCAGCAAAGAAATGAAAAATGAAATGACATTCCACTTTAATATAAAGGCCAAATTAAAGAAATGTAGTAGTCTTCTACCAGTAATCAATTATTTTAATACCAGCTATCTGGGACCAAAATCTGAAACAAAGGCAAAAAGGAATAATGTCTTAGGAACCTTCAGCCCCTGAAAACTTCCAGTTCCTCCCTTTGCCTCAAAAACTATGCAGTCTTTTGAAAAATGAATTAATGTGTGCATGAACTGGGAGCTATGGA